CTTAAGCCCAGGAGTTTGAGGTTGCTGTGAGCTGTGACATCGTAGCACACTACCAAGGGCAATGAAGTGAAGACTCTGTCTCTAAAAGAAAAATTTAAAAATAAATAAATAAACAAACAAATAAAGACTGGGAGTGGTGGTTCATGCCTGTAATCCTAGCACTCTGGGAGGCTGAGGTGGGTGGATTGCCTGAGCTCACAGGCTCGAGGCCAGCCTGAGCCAGAAGGAGACCTCGTCTCTAAAAATAGTTGGGTGTTGTGGTGGGTACCTGTAGTCCCAGCTACTCAGGAGGCTGAAGCAAGAGAATTGCTGAAGCCCAAGAGTTTGAGGTTCTGAGAGCGACAAAGTGAGATTCTGTTTCAAAAAAAATAAATAAAAACAAAACATGCAGAGGGCTGGTCCAACCTTAACAGAACCCAAATTCCTAGAGCAGGGGTCCTCAAACTTTTTAAACAGGGGGCCAGTTCACTGTCCCTCAGACTGTTGCAGGGCTGGACTGAGGGCCCCAGAACGAGTCGGCTGCTAAGCAGGACAGGCAGTGGTGGCAAAAACACCTGGCAGGCCAGATAAATGTCCTAGGCAGGCCACATGTGGTCCACGGGCCACATGCCCTAGAGGATAAAGCTCAGGAATAAAAGGGATTTTTAGTATATGTGCTGCCAAAGCAAGCACAATAAAAGGGATTTTTAAAAGTGCACCAAGTACATGTGACGACCAGCTAGGTTCGGGGACAACAGACCTAAAGCTCATCTTAGAAAGGACCCATAGTGGGGTCATCATAGCAGAGAAGAGGAATAGGGAGCCCCTGCACACAGCTCCTCTCCTACAGGGCAGCCCCCATGCACACACACTCCTTGCAGGTCCCAGCCCAGCCCTCACCCAGCACTCGGGCAACAAGGCAGAAGAGCAGGGTGCTGATGACGAAGGTCCAGTTCCAGTGGTGGGAGCCAGCCACGGTGGAGACACCAAGGAAGATGAAAATGAGGGTCTCGCTGACACTGCTCCACATCTTGAGGAAATATTTGATGGTGGTGTGGGACTTGTGGGAGATGTTGGCCTCCACGTAGGGCCGCATCACCACTCCTGAGGCAATGAGTCTGGGGTCGGGAAGAGCAGGCATCAGGGCTCATAGTCGAGCCGTACTTTTCTGTACCCCACCACTGCTGGGGGCTGAGGGAACCACAATGAAGGTGCCCATATTCTGAGTTCCTCTTGCGGGACACATGCTACTGTGCGCTTTACACACCTATTTCCACTCAGTCCTCACAACAACCCTACAGGCACAGGCGTGCTCTTGCGCTTTTCAGATCTGACTATGGGAGAAATAAAGTCGCCTGCCTACTGTCACACTGCCGATGAGCAGCAGAGCTAAGATGCAAACAATGGTCTGTCCAGGCCCAAGACCTGCGCCTCCAGCCCAAAGCCATGCTGCCTTTCTGCCCAAAGGGAGTCAGTAACATGTCTGTGGTCTCTTGGGTTTATTCCCCCTGAGTGTGGCATCCCTCAATGCACAGAGGTCCCCACAGCTACGATTGGTTCCAAGCAGCAGCCTAAGTCTTCCCAGCCACACCTGGGCCCTGCTCCTGCCAGCCCTGCTTCTCCACGGTTGCCCTGAAGCCCCTAGTTCTGCCCTGTTTCCAATGTCCTCCCCTGTTGGAAACACACCTCACTGCCTCTTCATGTCCATTTTCCTCCACCCCCCCCCGACTTCAAGACCCAGCAGAGGGCGTGGGGCCTTCAGGACTCAGGCCTGGTGAGAATCCTCACTTCGATGGAAGCCTTGAGCCTCTTCAGGGCTGCTGAGAGGAGTGATGAGCACCCATGTCCAGCAGTGACCACAGGACACCCTTTGAGATAACTGAAGGGAAGAACCAGCAGATCTGAGACTTTCCTGAACTTCAAGCTTAGTGGCTTCCATGTTCCAAAGGTAGCTCCAGCTTCTGTCCTCCCGTGCCCTGGGCTTGCCCTAATGCAGGTCACTCTTGCCTCATCTGCCGAGAGCTAGATGCCCGGGCTCTCTCCGGCTGCCTGGATCTCACAAAGCTCAGCAGAGTTTACCTCTTCTAGGACACCTCTGATGACCCTGACCCTCCAAGCAGGTCTAGAGCCTGAAGTTAATGTCTTATCCCTAAAGCTAGAGGCTGGGCCCTCGGGAACTCCATGACTCTACAACTCTGGGGAATCCAAGCTGGCAACCTCCCGACCAAGCCTGCCACACCCAGACTCACGCCATGATGCCCGACAGGTGGAAGAGCTCGGCTGACAGGTAGGCCATGTAGCTGTAGAGGAAGACGAAGAGCGGCTCGATGACACGGATGTGGGAGGTAAATCGAGAGGTGAAGGCTGCGATGACCCCGTAGACCACGCCCACAAACACCCCGCCCAGGGCCACCACGAAGAAGCTCAGGAAGCCAAGGACGATGTCCACGATGCCCACGTGGTCATAGCTGGCAAATTCCTCAAAGAGGTGATACAGGACCTGGGGAGGGTGTACAGGAGGGTATGGGTGGGAAGGCAGGCCCCATGGCTCCCTAGGGTCTACCAGAGTGATCCTGTGCCATCTGTTGACCATAGCCACAAGAGGCCACATGGAAGCAGAAAACCCTAGTGCCAAGCAGGTGCTCAAAACCACAGCCTGGGGCTGGAGGGGCTGTCATTGAGCCTGCAGCATGTCACCTGGTGAAGGGGACAGACCCTGAAGCCAAACTGCCTAGGCTGGAAGCCTGGCTCTGCCATTCCTGATCCATATACATGGGGCAAGTCACACATCCCCTGTGCTTTAGTCCTCCCCTGTTACAAGGGGATGATATTAGTGCCAGCTCTAAAGTGCTGTTGTGAGGATTAAACGAGTCACTAAATTAGTTCCCAAAGCCTTCAGAACCTTGCCCAATTCAGTGTTGGTACCACTGTTTCTATTAAGTCTGCCTCTCACTGTTTGACTCCGGGCACATCACACCCATCTCTGGGTTCCAGTCTCTCCTTAACAGATGAAGGATGAACTAGAAGGTGATTTCTTAACCTCTGATGCTCTCTGAAAATATACAAGGCCAAGCCATACTGGACTTGGACTCTCTGAGTTAGGGCTCAGAAATCTCTATTTCACAAGCTCCCCAGTTGTGATAAACAACCAAATTCTGATGCTACAGAACTGAAGGCTGTCTGAGGCTTCCCCATCTCCCAGACTGGGGAACAGACAGTTACTGTAATGCTATTGCCAGATGTTTAAGTGGCACTGTAAAGCCCTTTGACAGTCTTAGTAGCAATGGGCCCAGAACTTGTTCCCTGTTTGCCATGGGCTGGGGCAGCCCTGGAAGGCTCAGCTTTGTGGTTCTGCCTCCTCCTGGTCGCCAGCCCCCTGGCTGTCTGGCCCACTCAAGTCTGGTCCTAGACAGCTCTGGCAAGAACCAGTGAGGAGTTTCTAGGCCCTGACAGGAAATCCACCAAAGCCCCTAGGACATAGAGGCAGGGAGAATGAGGTATGAGAAAGGACTGGCTCTGGGGCATAGACCTGAGACCAGGTGGCTCAGGGGCAGCCTCCAGCTTTACTATCTGGGAATGGGGCACTCACACCCATGCTCAGAGCTCCAGAAAGACCCAACTTGCACTGGCCAGGCCTGTTGCTGCCTGAGACACAGAGCAGCAGACAGCCTCTTTAGCAGGAGCACACTCAGCCCTGAGCTACCTAAATGTACTCCTGGCCTGAGGGGCTTCATGGGCCTTCATGGTTCATCACACAGACCAATGGGATGGGCACAGAGGACAACGTCCTCCTTTCTGCCCTGAAACTATTTCCACTGAAGCCACAGAGAAGCAGTGTAGCATAGTGCTAATGCGTAGACATGATATATCACTTATCAGGCTAATGTGTCCTCTCTATGCCTCAGTTTCCTCACTTTAAAAAAACCGGGATAGCAACAATGCCAGCCTCATGGAGTCACTGTGCAGATCAGATGAGGCAACACACATTCAGACAGGAACACCTGACAGATACCATGGTCATGATCACCACCTTCTGGTGGCATGGCTGTGGGTCCCAAGGAGCTGGATCTGAGTTACCTGTGTGGCATAACCACACCCCACTGCTCCTCAGAAGTGCCACCTGAAGGATTCCAATATCCAGATCCAAAGGGGAGGGGTTTTATCTTTGGCACCCACTGGTTTCACAGACATTAGTGAGTATAACTCCTGTAAGAGCCCTGGGAGGATGATAGGGTGGGTACTGCAATCCTCTGTCACAGATAAGGAAACTGAGGCTTATGCGGTAACCCTGAGCAAAAGCTGACGCCAGAAGAGACCAGGACAGGGGCCTGCCTGCTCAGGCAAGGCTGCTGCTCTACCCAACCCCACAAGGAGCTGGCAAAAGGGGCAAGGGAGGAAGAGGAAATGGGCTGCCAGCAGCTGAACACCACAGTCTGTCTCTACTCTGGGGTATTGCTTCCTGAGGGGCTGTGGATACAGGAGTGCGTGTGCAAGCATGCACATGTGCCTTGTACTTTCCTGCGTGTGCAGCTGCCTCTGAGGGAGCCAGCTTAGTAAGGGGTGAGGGTGTCCTCACAATACAACTGTGCATATACACACATCTGTCTCCCAAGGCAAAGAGCAGGAAGGAAGGGCCTGTGCAGACCCTGGGAGTTGGGGGTATCTGTCCTCCCCTCACTGGTCCCTGGAGGAAAGCACTAATACTCTGCCACTATGCAGCTGTCAAAAGTGAGCCCCAGAGAGGTATGGTCACTTGCTTAAGGTCACCCAGCAAACAAGTGGCCAGTACAGGCCAATTCATTTTACTTATCACTTTCTGGAGGTTTGGGGGACAAGACTCTTTTTCATAATGCTGCCCTCAAACTCTGCACAAACCAAATTCTAACTTAAGAAACGATCAAGATGAGAGCTGAAAGGCCCCTCCGATTAAATGGTCTATAAAGAGGAAACTGAAGCACAAACAGGATAAGTAATTTGTTCAAGATCACATCAAAATGCAATGCTCCCTCAAAGAGGGAGCCTATGCCCTAAAGCCAAGAGCTCAGGCCCTAGAGTCAGACACACCTGGTTCAATCAAAAACTGGTTGTATCATATTTTAGCAAGTTATTTGAGTTCTTTGGGCCTATTCTTCCTCTGGAAAATGAGAATAAGCATCTACTGAAGCTGTCATGAGGATTAAATGAGATAATCCATGTCAAAGGGCTCTGAAGTGTGGCGCCTGGCACTCTGTGAGCAGGAAGGGGCAACTGCTGTTTTTGCTACTGTTGCTAGTGGGCAGAGGAGGGAGTGACTGCTGGACCTGGATTCAGGTCTGTGCTGTGTGCATGCGGGCACGGCCCCCTCACCACAGTGACGGCGTCATTGAGCAGGGATTCCCCAAAGACGAGGATATGCAGTAGCTCATTGATGTGAATTTCCTCAAAGACAGCCAGGACAGCCACCGGGTCCACGGCAGAGATGATGCTGCCGAACAGCAGGTTGTCCAGGAGGCCAATGTTGTTGATCTGCTCGCCACCCACCAGGCACACGGCATACATAAGGCCGCCCAGGAAGAAGGCGTTCCACAGCGTGCCCACCACCGCGAAGATCAGGATGGTGCCCAGGTTCTCTGTGAACTGCCGCAGCGGCAGGAAGTAGCCTGCATCCAGGATGATGGGCGGCAGCAGGAAGAGGAAGAAGACGTCCGACTGTAGGAAGGGGGGCGTCTCGCCCACGCCCTTGATCAGGCCCCCCACCAGCAGCCCCACCACGATCAGCAGGCAGCTCTCCGGGACGATGCTCGAGATGGTGGGGATCACATGGAAACCTGCGGAGGGCGAGAGAATGGGAGGCCATGGGCTTTTGGGGGAGCCAGGAGAACAGAAGCTTGGGGACAAGGCCGGGGATGAGGAGTGCAGCTGGTGAGAGGTGCACAGGTTTGGTCTCAGAGGGCTGCTCTGTTAACTCTCTGAGCCTCGGCTTCCTTGCCTGTAAAACGGAAGGAACAATACCAGCTTCACAGGGTTGTCGTATAAACCAAGTGATGATGTTTTCAAAGTGCTTTTTTTCATAGGATATACTTCTGCTCTCTCTGTCACTGTCATAAAATGTTAGAAAGCAGTTCTCTATGCCTCCAGAAGGCAGAAATTAGAAACTGGTTACGAAGGCACCAAGTACCTAAGGGCATCTCCTACGCCTGAACCCATGGCATCTTTCCAGGTACAAGTTCAGGAGGCAGATCTGGGCTCAACATGAGCAATAACAATTTAACAATTCTATCTGAGGGAAAATGAGAGTTTCCCATCACAGAGGGGTTTAAGCAGAAGACAGACAACCAGCTGGTAGGAAAGGAACATAGGAGATAGAAGAAAGCACAGAAGAGTCAAAGAATATCAGAGCAGGAAGGACCTTGGGGATAATAAGGCCTGGAGTCTGCAAAGTTGCAGAACATTTGCAGTACAGTGACCTCCAGTCCTAGATATCTTTATATAATTACAGCAAGCTTTCCTGCTTGAGATAGGGCTCGAAGAAGTCAACAGCAACCAGTCTTGGCATGTGAGATAAAATCTATTTGCCAGATTGTTTCTAGCCCTTTAGAGATGGGGCAACTAAGGCTCAGAAAGGGGAAGGCACCTGCCAAAGTCACACAGCAAGTTAGTAGCAGAACCAGGATAGAATCCAGGTTTGAACACACACACACACCCCCCTCACCAGCTCCCATCAAACTCCATAGTTTGGTAGTACAACCTCTCTACCCTTCTTCCCCTCTGCCAGAGTCACACAGCAAGTTGGTAGCAGAACCAGGATAGAATCCAGGTTTGAACCCCCTCCCCCCCAGCTCCCATCAAACTCCATAGTTTTATAATAAAATCTCTCTACCCTTCTTCCCCATGAAGGTGTCCACATACCCCTCTGCTTGAGACCCACTGACCATCTCCCTAAGCTGTGTCCTGGCCAGCAGCAGCTGGCCACTCTCTGCTGTGGCTCACCTAGGGCTGCAAACCCAGAACTGAGAGCAACAAAAATCTCTATCAGAGAGGGCCTCTCTCAATACCAGGTTTGGGCACGGATGCCCGAGTTCCCTATGAGTTGTTTTGTTTGTTGGATTTTGGATGGGGAGATGGATGGAGAAGACCTGAGGACTGAGCTGCATGTTGGGTGCCATAACCCCCAGGGTCAGCTTGGCCAAGAGGTGTGACCCTTTGTTCAAGATAAAAGCTCTCAGTCCTTCAGTCCTTCCCTCCCTAGCCTGTAAGGTCTGTGCAGGCAGATTCTGTGTGTATTTATCATTACAACCCTGGGCTGAGGACATAGCAGGTGCTCAAAAAAAAAATCTGCTGACTGGAAAATATGCAGGGATAGGACAGTATCCATGTGATTCCTGATAACCCATCTGACTAAGCCTCTGCTCCTACTATCCCCGAGATCTTTGGGAAGGAAGAGGAACTTGTCTCCCCACACCCAAATCCCTTCCTATTGTCAGGGACAGATCTGGGCAGAGTTAACACAGCTACAAGTCAAGACTCACGCTCCAAACACCATCTGGGCTCAGAACCCTGGCACAGTGCCAAGTTCTATGGGGCTACTCAAAACACATTGGGAAAAACATGTCTCCATTATAGGCCAGGAGAGGACCTCAGAGCCACCACGTGCATTCTCCTGACTTCAAGACAGACTTGGCCAGGCTCAGTGGCTGATGCCTGTAATCCTAACACTCTGGGAGGCTGACGTGGGAGAATCTCTTGAACTTAGGAGTTCAAAACCATCCTGAGCAAGAGTGAGACCCCATCTCTACTAAAAACAGAAAAACTAGCCAGGCATTGTGGTGGGCACCTGTACTTCCAGCTACTCAGGAGCCTGAGGCAGGAGGATCACTTGAACCCAGGAGTTTGAGGTTGCTGTGAGCTATGATACCACAGTGCTCTAGGATGGGCAATGGAGTGAGACTCTGTCTCAAAAACAAAAACAAAACAAAACAAAGAAAACAGACTTAACCAAAAGTCATCCCTTTTGCTGAGAAGTCCCCCTGTGTCTGTCACGTCCACCAGTAACAACCAGTGTGCAGCCGGCTGCAATACTGGGAAGAGCTAGGTCATGTTAGGTCCAAGTCTCTCCTAATGTACAGGACAAAACCCAAACTTTCAGCACTGACTCTGTCATTTGGCCTTGCCTCGTGTCCTACCCTCCCCACTGTCAACTCTTTGGTGTCACTTGCAAATTCCTCGCAACTGCCCCACATGAGCTGCATCCTCTTTTGCCTGCCAGCCTTCTAGTCTACTTCCTCTCTCCAGAACACCAATTCTCTACCTCTGCTCCCACCGTGCATGGCTGACACTATATCCTCCCACCTGCCTCCTCCCCCAGAAAATGTCTTCTGACTACCCAGTCTTCCCAGGTTAGGGCAGGCATCTTCTGGTGCTTCCCTCTCCCATAACCTTCAGTCCACAATCATCACCCAGGTTTTTCTTTCCCCTACTGAGGTCATTTAGACAACTTAGGCAGAAGCAACTAAGACAACACAATAGCACCACACCTGAGACCTGTGCTATGCTGGGAAGAGACAGGCGGGCACAGGGTCTTAGGGGAGCAGAGCTCCTGCAGGCAGGGGCCAGAAAGCAGCTTCCCAAGGTCAGAAGTCCAGCTCCAGCCAGGGGACTCACACCAACAGCCTCCCCACCCCACCTGGAGAAGATGTGCACCAATAGGTGCCTCTGGAGAAGGCAGAGGCCAGAGAGATAGTCCAGGAAGTGGACAGCTTCTCCCTCCACCTAGTTAGGCCCTCCTATCAGCCCAATGAACAGAGCTTTGCTGGTTCTGTGACACCAGACAGTGCCCTGGACACCCAGAAAAGAGTGGGCCAGAGCTCCTGCCAGGGGGGAGAGGGGAAGGTGTGTGAAGCAAGCCAAGGGCAGCAGCATGAAGAATGTTCATCATTCCTGAAGGCGTGCCAGGGGCTGGCACTATGCTGGGAGCCTGCCACATGCCATCTCATTCAGTCCTCACAACAGCCCTAGGGGCTACATATTGTCCCCATTTTGCAAAAGACAAAGCTGAGGCTCAGCAAGGTTGGGCAGGGTCCTCAGGACCTAAGTCGGGAGCTCTGCTCTAGCTTAGGGTGTCTCAAATCTGCAGCTCAAGCTGTCTACTCAAGCCACATAGTCTCCAAGGGTGTCCATTTCTGTCAGAGCAGAGAGGTGCAAAGGTGTGGATTTCAGCATCTCCAAGCCAGGGCCAAACTCTCTGACACTGTTGAGGGCCAGGAAGAAGAAGGGGCTGGGGAGAGAGAGAGGTCCTTCCCATTCTATCCAGCATGGGCAGTAGCTGGAAAACACACATACAGACGCATGTACACGCACACAAACAAGCTACTTAGAGTGCTTATTAATCCTTTACTCAGACTTGGTCAGTGTCTTCTCTGAACCAGGCCATGCTGGGCACTGGGGCTGACTCCGAGCCTCTGTGAGGAGCTCATGGGATGGCCATATGTTTCCAGACCTTGGGGCCCTCATCACCAGGTAGAGAGACAGCTGGCATTCCTACCAGATAGATGAAAAACTGGACTTCTGAGAGGAGGCAGGAGGCCAGCTGAGCCACCCAGGGCTAATTCCTGGGCTCCTGACTGTAGTATGGCAGGTCCTTTCCTCTAGGTCAGCCAGCTCCCAGGGTCCCGGAGCTGACCTCCCAGGCTTTCGCATTCTGTCTCTCAGTCAGCAGAAGATAGGGGCCCCCAAGGGTGCCTGAGGGAAGGGGAGGGCTGGCTAGCTGAAGAGGAAGGTCTGAGATCTACCCCTGGCTCCTTGCCCATGGGTAGGCGGCACATTACTGGAAAGTGCTTCCAGGGCTGGGGGAGTAGGAGGGTTCTGTCATCAGGAGGCACACAGGCACACAGCAGCTCAGGGAAGGAGGGGCAGCCATGGGCCTGCTCTGGCTTGTTCCCCTCCAAGGCCCTGACTCCACCAATTGCCCCCACCCTCCACATCCCTGAAGTATCCCCTCAAATCACAGGAAGCTTGCCGACATCAAGCGTGGTGAAAGGGGCATGGAAGAATGGTTGGGTGTCCTCTACCCTGACACAGGCCCAGCCCTGGGGCAAGACCCCAGGATGTCAAGAAAGGAGGCAAAACTTCCAGGGCCCAAACTTACAGCAGTGGTGATGTCACCAGGATGGAATCGGGGTAGGGCAGAGGCAACTGGAATCAGATCCAGAGATAGGAGAGCTGGAATGGACCTAGGTGAACATCTAAATTCTCCATTACACAGACAGGGAAGCATAGACTGGAAGAGAGCCAATGACTTGCCAGTGGCCACAAGACCAGTCCCACCATGACAGCCCACGGTACTCCAAGTTCAGTGGTCTGCTCAAGCCACATGGCCTCCTTCGAGGGTGTCCTTCAGAGCAGAGAGGTGAGAAGGTGTGGAATTCAGCATCTCTGAGCCAGGGGCCAAACCCTCTGACACAGTTCAGGGCCTGCCATCCTTTCAGGATAAGAGGGGCAGGCGGTAGACGGGGGGGGGGGGAGATAGAGTTCTCATTTTAGCCTGCGTAGGTGGCAGCTGGAAAACATACACACGAAAGTTCACAGCGGCACGCTGAGCCGACGCGTCACCAAACTCTGAATTGGCAGGGAGTTCTCAGTCCTCTGGCTGCTCTATCCTCCACCCTGAAAATAATTTAGTTACATCTCCTCGACTATCCCTATCGGCTGAGACACTGGTGTGTTGGAACAGGCAGGGCTGCCCCAAGTCACCCTGGGTGGCCGGGATGACCAGATACCCTGGTCCCACTTCTGTGTCCCTCCCCTGGCCTGGGAAGTTGGAGGGGAGTGC